AGGCTTCACATAAAATATTGGATCATATCAATTCTTGGATCCTATCAATGCTTTTCATCGGTGCTTGGATCTTTATCTACGCTTTACATCATCTGCGCAACTAAGAAATTTCTCTTGGAGATTAAATGCATTTGTTGAATTAATTAAAATTAGGACTGCAGAACATCAAGGAGAATAGGGTGGGCTAAATAAATTTTGAGCCTTATATATTTTGTTTCTTAAACCATGAACCATGGCCACGTTACAACCTTCAAAAGTCCTAATTGAAGCTAGGTTTACTATGAAATCATACTCAACAAGATTTGTGTTAAACTGGCTCCTGTGTTTGTTAAAATTATTAATCACTTCGCGTCTTCGAATATCTATTCCTGATCATCCATTTATTTTCAATAATCAAACTTAGATTTCAAGAACTTGCTTGTGCATCACATTAGAATTACTTTTTCAAAATGTACAATTTTATCTACGAATCAATATTTAGCATCAAGGAGATTTCAAAATATGGTCTGATCAAAGGCAGCATTTCCAAGAAGCTTCTAACTAGGGGAAAAACATCTAAGAGGACCCCCATTAAACAGTGGCAAATACTAATTATCGTAGGTGTATAACACATGAATATACTATTGACAAAGGGTGATCATTCCGAGATTCAATCAACTTCAATCAAAATTCAAAGCAATGTTCAATCAGGGGAATACCTTTCGAAGAAGCATTCCATAATCAGGTTATATCACAATAGGGTATGACTCGGTTTCCTCGTTTTAACAGACATCTCAAGGTCTTGATAATCATGGGCAACCTTACAAGATACAAATGTTGGGGCAGTACGTACCAAGTTCACCCTATTGCACATAGGGTCCAAATTCTTCAAACAACATCAAGTACAAGCTTTTCAAGCTCCGAACACTTGGGGAAATCTATGTCAAGTTCATGGTAAGGTCTAAGTTCATCCAAAAGCACCTCCTCTAAATTCTAGAGATTAGGGGCATATCTTTCAAGAAGTAGAAATGTCAGGGCATATCGCCACAAGGTTCATTCAGAAGAAATTGATTAAAAAAAATAGCCCATCAAGGGCAAACCATCCAACAACCCATTAGTCAAAAGCATAATGTTTCAGAATGCAAAGTAGTTGGGTCATTCATATTATGATCAAACTATTTCCAAAGCTCATATCAATGATAGTCTCCTCCAAGACCCTGCCAACAAATTAGGAGAAGACAGTCCACATGGGGGCAAGCTCTCCTAGTACTTTCACAATCTCCAATGGATCTTTCTCCTACATCAATAATATTCAAGTTCAAATCGATTATCGGGAAATCATGATAGCACAACATCCAACCATCAAATAACAAGCAACCTTGTTACATAAGCAAAACTCTACGCTTTAATCACCCACGATCTCATTGCAAAGGCACCATTAAAAAAACCATTTGACTCATAACCATAAAGCATAAAGTTGCATAAATCATGCATTAGGTTGCTTCTATCAAGAATCAAGCTATACTTGCCATCTCACTCATCTAACGAATTCTGACCGCATGGATTGAGCACATCCCAAAAAAAGAGAAGCCCAATTACGCATTCTTATTTCAAAGTCCAACATACATTTACACATATCCAAGTCACTCATTTCATGCATTAGTCAAGCATTACATTTCATGCATCAATCAAATTTACATGCATGACATAAAACCTTGTTTTAAGTGAAGACAATCATCATTGTCAATCAAGTTACCTAATTCTACATTGAATCTCGGCAGTAGATTCCTCGGAAATCTCAGTAGTAGATTTCCCGTCAAAAAGCCTCATATCAAGCATGACGTACACATAAACATATCAAAATCTCAAGGTCATGCACAACATTTGGTGCATCTAACATACGGAAACACCAAAAGAACATTTGATAAAGCATCAAAGTTTATTCTGGTTAGAAGAACGTCAAAATAAAGTCTACGCCTACCTCTACGCCCATGCCTACACCTATGTCCACGCCTACGCTTACGTCCATGACTATGTCAACATCCATGCTAACGTCCAAATATACATCGATACCTACGTCTACACCTACGATACAGACATCAAAATCTTGCTGACACTTTTCACCAAATTCAAATCAACTTGGAGATACAATAATTGGAAACAAACAACATTGGGAAATTGATAACTACCATAACCCGATGGTTTAACAAAGGGGAACTATCAAAAATTTTCTCCATGATATTTTAGGCATATACACATAGTTTGCACACATATACTTTAGGGGCATACACATATACATTCTCAAGTCCATATTTCCATGCATATGCATCACACATGAAATCCCTCAAAACCTACTACGAACAGAGCCAATATCTTAGGGCCCTCCATCAATTCTTACCTCGGTTAGAAACAAACAACCGGCAAAAAATACAATCTCATCTCTAATTTAGTTATCTAAGATTTGGATCATCAAAATAACTTCCTCTATGTTTAACTCATTACATCAGGCTCCATGCAGCAATGTTGTTTCCTTCTTTGTGATACAAGTTATTGTGTCAGTCTCCATGCAACAATATGCTCTTTCTTTGCGATTTAGCTCATTGTGTCATACCTCAGGCAGCAGTGTTACAAAATCAACAATTTCACCCATTGTGTCAGTCTCTATGCGACAATGTGTGAAATTTTCTATATTTAACTTATGATGTCAGTCTCCATGCAGCAATATGTTTCTTTCTTTGTGATTTAGCTCATTGTGTCAGACTGCGGGCAACAATGTTACAAAATCAGCAATTCCACCCATTGTGTCAGTCTTTATGCAACAATGTGTGAAAGTTTCTATATTTAACTTATTGTGTCAGTCTCCACGCAGCAATATGTTCTTTCTTTGTGATCTTAGCTCATTGTGTCAGACCCCAGGCAGCAATGTAGCGAAACCACTAAATTCCATCCATTATGGAAGTCTCTATGTAACAATGTGTGAAATTTTCTATATTTAACTTATTGCATCAGTCTCCATGCAACAATATGTTCTTTCTTCATGATCTAGCTCATTGTGTCAGACTCTAGGCGACAATGTTGCAAAGTCAGTAGTTCCACCCATTGTGTAGGCCTCTATGCAACAATTTGTGAAACTTTCTATATTTAACTTATTATGTTAGTCTCCATGCAGAAATATGTTCTTTCCTCGCGATCTAGCTCATTGCGTTAGCCTCCATGCAGCGATGTTACCAAACTCCTTCCATTACATCAGTCACCATGCAACAATGCTTTTACCAGACTCTGTTTATTGCATCAGTCTCCATGATGTAATATTATTATTAAACCTTTTTTCTATGGTATAATCCATTGCATCAGTCTCCATGCAGCAATGTTATTATCAAATTTCTCTTTGACATAATCCATTGCATCAGTCTCCAGGCAGCAATGTCATTATCAAGTTTCTTCCTAAATTTAACTCATCGCATCAGTCTCTATGCAACAATATTTGTTATCAGTTTTCCTGTGATATAGCTCTATTACATCAATTTCTATGCAGCAATGTGTTGTCAAACTTTGTTTCATCCATCACCTAGGTTGTGATGAATAGACAAATTCAAATCAAACCAAAGCTTTCTATATTAGTCTCCAAGCGTTAGTAAAGTTAGTTGTTCAAACCTACAACATTTACCTCCTAGGTTACAGTAGATATGTAAATAATCTCTTCTTAGATACTGGTAGGACTCTACGTCGTTACGTCTAAATCAGCTTGGGTTCAAACCCAAATTAGATAATATATCATCATATATGTTTGATCTTCATACCGATGGGAACGATGTACATTGTATCCTTATAATCTTTCGAACAAATTTTGGGGTCTTTCAATATTTAATAAACTTCCGTTCAGAACATGCGATACCTACATATTCTTGCACTATTCAATCTACAGATAATTAAATAGGGGCAGTTGTCATACTCCAAGTTTGCCCTATCCTTTTATTATATCTAGGGCTCTTTTAAATAAATCATAGTGTTTTTTTCTATGGAGTAAATTATGGAAGAAGAGTGTGTTGATTTAAAATGGACCATCAATATCTGATGGCCCATTAGGTTTTAAAAAAAGGTGAGTCCATTTCAAGTATTAAAAGTAGGGGTCCATAAAACAAATTATTTCATTTTTGTAAGGCCCAATAAATCATACAAATTAGGCCCATTGTAAATTTTTGTCTTAAGAAACTGTTTTTTTTTCTTTTCACATTATTATTACAAACATTAGTAAAATTATATTATTAACTATTTTAATTTATTCTTGTAGGTTTTAAATATTGTTTTTTTAGGTCATAATTATTATTGGTATTACTATTTTAATTATTAGCCAAATTTATTTAGCTATTTTCACTTATATAATTATGTAGGATTTTATGGCTATTTTTGTATGCTTTCTTATTAGAAGTTGTATTATTGTTACTATAATAGAATTAAATTTTATTTTCACTTTCTATAATTTTTGTTGTTACTAGACTTTTAGGATTATATTAGTTTTATTTTGTTATTTAGATTATTATATTTAGTCTTACTAAAAATAATGACCAAAGAGGAGGCCTTAATACACAGTCCATTACGGGCCCATATCAAAGTAGTGTGTGGCCCAAATTCCTAAACAATTATTGTTTCAATAACCAAAAAAAAAACTCTCGCTGGACATATTCAAAGATGAACTTTCTAACAAATATAAGAACAAAATCATTGCAATCCATGGACTAAAATAGAAACAAACATTGGTATTCATCACTAATCAAAACAAGTTTAAGGCTTATAAAAACTGAATGAATCAAAATAGAAACAAGCTAATACAAAATTATGCAAATTAAAAACCTAATATAGAAATACATACAAGAATTTAATTGAATTCAAACCTTGTCCAAATCATACAAAATTTTACAGACAAATTTATTTGTTTCCTAATCTAAAAAGTCCCTAAAAATCTATAAAAACCTAGGATTACAGTAAGGAAAAGGGGGGAAAGCGATTTACAGAAACAAAAATTATAGAGGCGCGGAGAATGAAATTACAGAAGGGGGAACAAATATACGGAGGAGGACAAGAAGCTTGAAAATAGGTTGAAGATTGGATAAAGGTTTCAAACTCTGAATCCCTAGATCCCTATTGCCCTCGTCCTCCAGCCTCCGCACCATTATCGTCTTCAATCGTTGCATTACCCTCACCATCGTTGTACCTGCGAATCAAAGAGAAGGAGAGTATGAAAGCGAGATCGGGAGAAAGGACAAGATAAAGCATGAAATTAAAAGTAACTGAAAATACTCGGCTTGCATTCTCATTGTTGTTCCGGTGAATCAATGAGTGATTAGGGGTTTAAGATTGTGGATCGGTTTTTTCTAAGGCTCAAACGTTGGGTGGTTTTGGGAAAGAAACTAATGCCATTGATTTCGTGTTGTTTGATTAGGGTTTCGGATTATCATGTTGTTGGGAAAGACAGAGCAGAGAAGGAAGGGGGAGAAAGGTGACTGAGTGCCGCCGTTGGAGATTTAAACTAGGGTTTGCTTGTTGTGAAGAGGCAAAAAGAGGATAATGAGACGGAGAGGGAGAATGGAAAATAACAAATGAAGTCTTTGTGCTTTTGTAAATAGAAAATATTTTATGCTTTGTAATTTAATGTGCGCCACCCATAGATATTTCCATGTATCCTCACCAGTATGCATTTTATCTTAATCATGCGATCCAAAATGCATGTGCCTATGATATTGTGGTACTCACACCCATATGTTGTCCATGTGGACCCTCTCCCAAGCTTTGTTCATTGGGCCTAGCCCAATACTAACAACACCCTTCAATTTTTTTTACTTATGTACGCAATAAACGCACCTCCCTGCCTAACGGGCCAAGTCCCAAGTCTGGACTTAGGCCCTTGCTTGGCATACCCACAGGTTTTACTTCATAGTGTAATTGTGCACCCCCTTCCTTCTAGGCATGAATTTAATATCTAAATCCAAGCCCTTTCAATTAACATCCATCGTTTTACTACCCTAATACATTTTGCACCCCCTACGTTTTTAAATATTTTTTATTTATTTTATCATTTTTTAATTTTTATATTATCTAATTTTTATTATAATAATTATTATATTTTTTTATTATATATTATACTTTTCTTTATAATAATTATTATATATATTTTTATTATTATATATTGAACATATTTAAATATTATACTTATTATCATTAATCATTACATAAATTTCTAAATTCATTGAAGACATTATTATTTTTATTGCATCTAAGCTATTACTTTATTCATGCATTTAAATAAAATTCGTTTTTAGAGAATTAACATACTAAAAAACATCCAACCAACTACAAACCTATTTTTAAAATCAAATTAATTTAATAATCAACTTTAAAAAAGAATTGTGAATTTATCAAATTGACTGCGCGTTTATTCTAACAATCTCCGCTATTCACGACACCCAGACTAAACGCGCGGAAAATGAGAATAACTTCACAATCCATAAAAAATACAAACCAACTGTGAACTATGAAATGAGACATTGATTCCTCCTAAGAGGATACATAGGCATATGATTAAAATCGTCGCGACTTACCTTAAAAAATATTAAAATCCTTTTTCTTGAAAATTATGCTTCTAAACCTAGTATTCTTGTGAACAAGGTAAGTGAGGGGTGCCTACACCTTCCCTTCGTCTTCCCTTCTATATAACCGGCTAAAAATATAGAGTCGCCACCATTAATTTTTATCCTAAGACAAGAATATAACAGAATAACCCTAATTGATGATAAAGAGATTCTAAGTTCTTGACTCACTTTAGACGAAGGGAAGGTGTTAGACACTCTTCGTTTACCTTGTTAACAAGGATACTAAGGTTTATGTTTAAGGTTTAGGAATAGGGTTTTAATTTTTTTAGTTAGGATAACTCGCCACGATTTTAGCCGTGTCCCTACGTATCCTCTTATGAGGAATCAGAGTTCCAATGCGTACTTCATAGTTGTTTGGTTAGTTTCTTTTTATGGATTATGGAAATGTCTTGAATTCCCCTTGAACCAAGTATGAGTTTGTAAATTGTGGAGTTGTAGACGAAGTTCGAAGTCGGTAAAAAATATCTCCATAATCCTTTTTGAAAAGATTTATAAGTTTGAAATTAAGTTAGTAAAAAAGGGGTTAGTATTTGTCGGTTAGATGTTTTCAAATATATTATGTATTACGAGAAAAATAGGTTTTAATTCATGCGCAAATTTTTTTTTAATTCCATTGAATATTAAAAAAGGAAAAGAGTTAGTATATTAAAAAAAATTGAATTAATAAAAAACCAATTTTAGAATTTATTTAAAATATTTATATTAAATATTAAAAATATGTCCAATAACTATTAATATGCAAAAAATGTAATAAAAAAAACAAATGAATAAATAAATAAAATTATAAAAATTAATTATTTTTTATTTAAAAACGCAGGGGGTGTAATTTATTCAAGCTTAGTAATTCTGGAGGGTGTGAATAACATGGCCCTAAATTCAGATATTGGATTTAGGCCCAAAACGCAGGAGGATAAACGTTTCAGTTTCATAATAATTCCAGGGGGTCTGGGTAGTAACGGGCTTGAGTCCAATAGTTGGTTTTTTATCCAAACATGGGGAGGGGGGTTATTTTCAGTCACGTAAGAAAAAACAAAATAAAAAAGGTGGGGGTGTGGTTAGAACGGGCTTAGGCCCAAGTTGGAGTGTGAAAGAACCAGCGACACTATGGAGGGTTTGCTCGATTTCATGCATGTGTGTGTACACGTTATGGTGTGCGTGCAAGATTTGGATCGTTTGATGGACATCACAGGGTAGAGGTATGAGGGTGTATGGTGAGGGCATATAGGATCATGCGGTCGGATGTTGGCCATGTGTCCCTGGAGAGATTGCATGCAAAAGGAGTATATTCTCATTCCTCTTTCATTTTCTTTTCATTTCTATCTGGCTCTCTCTCTCTCTCTTCCCTCTCGTTCTCTCATCCTTCTCCTTCTTCCAAAACAACAACAATAACAAACCCTAACTCACATTCAACGGCGACGGTGGCCAACCCTTTGTCATCCACCACCAAAATCACCACAAAAACCCAAATCTCCTCAAACAATGAAAATCAAATCACGGATGAAATCAAAAGCTATGAAATTTACTTACTATTTCTTGCCGAAAATATATGAATTCTTTCTGATTTTTGGTCTGATCTCCTCTTTTTGATCTCTTCTTGGTCTTGCACGTAACGATCGGATCTAGGGTTTCATTTTTGAAACCCAGATCCCAAGCGAAGGAAGCCTCGATTCGAAGATTCAAGCCACAACTTTTTTAGCTCTGCCTTCTTCTCCTTATTTCTTAATTTTTTCCCGTCCCATTTTTTCAATTTTAGAATTAGGGTTTTATAGTGTTTTAGAATTAGACAAATTAGGAAAATTATATGATTTATGTTATAATTTTAGATGAATGAAGAATTATGGATTCAATTGTTTAGGAATTGATTATATTTTAGATTTTGTTTTAAATTAGCTTAGGATTTGATTTTGTTAAGGTTTCAATTTGTTGTATCTGGGCGATTTTGAGTTATAAATCAAATCAATAAAATTTGATTTTGTGATTTTTGATTTGATTTGCTGTAATTTTTCATCTGTACAGTGCTTATTTTTGGGCTTGGGTTACGTAGCATAGAAGAACAATGCCGCTACGGATGCATTAGGGTTTCCAAAAACCTTTTGTTGAATTTAGTCAATGTTTTAGAAAAATATAATTACAAAATAATAATTATAATAATTATAATAATAATTATTATTATAGGTAATAGTATTTGATTATAATAATAATAATAATAATTGTAATAAGCAAAAACGAAAATGGATTATGGTGGCAGAAATTGAAATTGGTCAATCTCTATTTTAGCTATTAGGCTCCCAATTCCCAAACACACCCCTTCTTTTATCTTTTTAGCCAAGCCTCCAAAAATTCTAACGGGCCAAATAAACTTCAACAGAAACGCACCATTTGCAAGACCCAACAAAACCCGTAATGGGCCATAACTTTCTTATTCACACCCCTTTTGTTTATTTTAAACGGGCCTAAAAGAATTGTAACGGGCCATTGATATTATATACGCACGCCCCCTTTGTAACCAACCCCCCCCCTTTATTCACCAAACTTTAATGGGCTAAGATATAAACAATAAATACACACCCTCAAATTGTAAGGAAAAACTTAATGGGCCATCATATTTTGATGGTCCATTTTGAAACAACACACCCCTTCCTTATCTTAAATAGGCCTATAAACCAAATGGGCTATTCTGATTAAACACCCATGAGTTCTTACTTAAGACACACTCCCCTTATATCATTATTCAAAATTAGTCGCAAAACCTATTTGGGCCATCAGACTTTAATGGCCCTCTTGAGACAATACACCCTTCCATTTTTAACATGGGCCAAAAAAACTTAAAGAGCTATCAGATCTTGATGGACCACCGTATTTAGTAAAGATATTCCCCTTTTATAACTACACCCCTATCATATCTAAACAAATTTTTAAATGGAAAAAATAATCTAAAGTTTATATTATACTTTTAAAACAAAGAAATATGATAACTCTTAAATTAATAAAAAAATTGGTTAGAAATTACTAGGGCGAATTCGGGGTATGACACGTTCGTAGGCCCCTGAAGCTAACATCGTCGTCCCTCCTGAATCGTCCCCAAAGAGACAAAAGAACTCTTCAAATCAAGAGAAACAAGTTGACAACGCGCCTTCTCCTGCCATCTCCAAAAAATCCAAAAAGTCCCAGTCGACTCGATCTGAGTTTGCATCAAAAAAGGCCACTTCTTCCATTGTGCCTGCTTCGATGGTAACAAGAGAACGAGTTTTGAAGCTTGTGCCAGAGCGACCAGAAAGTATTAACTCTAGTATCGAAGGATACCATCAAGTACCTTCTTCTTTAAAGACTCTTTATCTTAGAAATTGTTTGTCCTTTTGATGATTCTGTTCTCACTTGCCTTTATTGTTTTAGCGGCTGACAGTTAAAACTAAAAAACACCCCACTAGGATTATCTTGAAATCTCACAAGACAAAAGGAAATTGTTCGGTCTGTTTATAGAGTCTAAAATCTAATTGAAAGTGCACAGCCTATCAAAGTAATATAAAGGATTGTCGAACCATAGAGACCAATTGTCA